CTGCAAGTTCCACTAGTTATAAGCCTTCAAACTTTTAAATTTTCCTACCTATGTGGTTCTGAGTTTTGGAGCTCTGCCCTGGATCAGCTTTGCCTGGTATTCTGTGGTATTGCTGATGGCGAACCTCACTGCACCTCCACCCTAGCCCTCTGTCACCTTTCAATGGATAACAATTGTTATTCAGTTCTTGTGTATCCCTGCAGATATTTTAAAGCATAAATAAGAAAATTTAAATACAGTATTTCTCTCTACTTTTCAAATCACATGCTGTCATACAATATGGGCATGGAACATTTTTTTAACTTAATAATTATATTAAATGTCATTTTTTTTTTAAAAAGGACTGCCTCCTTTTCCCCTTCATCCTTGGGTGGCTTATTTTTTTTTTTTCATTAACTTTTAATTTCTGAGTTTTTACATTGGCAAATCAAAATGATGAAAGTTATTGATTTGATTGTCAATATCTTGAGAAGGTCCAATGCCAAAAGACCCCTCTGAATTTTGATATAAATTGTGCCAGTTAGCACTACCACAGGTTTAATGTGTTTTTGAGAACCGTGATAGTCACCAGTGTAAAATCTAAATTTATTAAATAAAAACTTTATTTCAAATGTTTTTTGTGTCATTCCATATTATTCTTTCTTGGACAATTTTCCCCCCCCCACAGGTGAATGGTATAACTTTGCTGGGGGAAAATCACCAAGATGTGGTCAACATTTTAAAGGAACTCCCTATAGAAGTGACGGTGGTGTGCTGTCGCCGGACTGTGCCACCCACTGACCATGCAGAATTCGATGGCCTGGATTTATGCGATATTGAGCTAACTGAAAAGGTATCTGACTTCAGACATGGGGCTACTCCGAATGAATGTTGGAAAGGCTCACTGGAGTTGCTATGAGTCAGAATCAACTCATAGGTTGCTAGTTAACTGGTTCAAGAGATATTTAAAATGTTTCCTGAGTTTTAGAGGGTTTTCTTTTGTGATTTCTTTAGTATTTGACTTTCAAGGTATTTGATTTCTTCATATAGTTCATGAGTTGAGGTTGGACAATGGAATCATACAGACGTAGCTTTGAATCAAACCTGACACTTAACTACTTGTGCAACTTTGAGAGAACGACTTAATCTTTCTGAACTTCAGTTTTCTCCTCTGTTAAATATAAATGATAATGCCTGTCTTAGACAGGCAAATAAGATAATATATAATA